CATGAACCAGAGGAGCAAGACTCCAGGATGAGCAAGTGTGAGGGGACTCTTGGGAGGGGGGCTCGGTTTTGGATTTGTAAAATTTGCAATGCCTATTAGACATCTGAGTAGAGATGTTATAAGACTGGACTGCAGGGAAGAGGTCCTGGCTGAAATAAATCTGTTCAACTTTTTGTGACCCCTTGGACTGTAGCCTACCTGGCTCCTCTGTCCATGGAATTCTCCAGGCAAGAATACCGGAGTGGGTCCCTTCTCTAGGGGATCTTCCCTATCTAGGGATTGAACCTGGATCTCTTGCATTGCAGGCAGATTCTTAACCATCTGAGTCACCAGGAAAACCCATAGATCTGTGAGCCATTAGGACACAGATGGAATTTAAAGGCAGGGGGCTTGACAAGATCACCCAGGAGTGTGTGTAGAGAAGAGTCATCTGAGGACTAAGTTTCAGGGCACTTCAGGCACCACACGTTTTTATTTTGGAATAGCTACGAGTTTCTCCAAGAACATTAGTGTTTCACAAACACAGTGTGAGGTTTGCTGATCTCAAAGAATATATCTTTATAACTACTTCTCTTCTGAGCACATAGAATGCAGTTCCTCTAGCTTTAAAAACATGCTTCAGTTTTTCCAAAATGGTGTAGTCATCTTAGTAAAGGTACCATACAAGTAAAACATTTTGTGGAAGAATATAACTGTGGGATATTCTGCATGTTCTGTGAGTCAGTAGTTGCTTAGTGATAGATCCAGACAGTTAGTATGTTCTAGAATGGGCCTCTAAAACCTCTTGAACTTTGCTGGGCATTTAATGTTCTTATGGTCTGATTGTAAATTCTGCAGAGCTCATTCCTTCCATTCAAAATATTTACGACAGCTGAATTATGTGCAAAGGAAGCGATCAGTTCTGTGGGGGATAAACTGTTCTAACCCTCAGGGAGTTCAGAGCAAAGACTTCAACCTTGGCAAAAGCATGATTCCAACATGAATGCTTCTGGGACAAATTGAGAGAGTAGGATTGACATATATACACTGCCATGTGTGGAACAGATAGCTGGTGGGAAGCTGCTCTACCGGTCAGGGAGCTCAGCTCAGGTTCTGTGACCTGGAGAGGTGGGATATAGAGAGGAGGCTATAAGGGATGCTCAAGATGGAGGGGAGGTATGTGTACATATAGCTGGTTGACCTTGTACAGTAGAAACACAACATTGTAGAGCAATTATACTCCAATTTAATAAACAAATGAGTGCTTCTAGGAGTTCCCTAGAAGCAGTGCTGAGAGAGTGGAAAGACTTGTTCTGAGCTCTGAAGGAGGTTTAGAAAAGGTAGAAATGAGGAACGGACAGTTTTTTGGTCCTAAGTGTGGGAGGCTAAGTACCGAAAACAGGAGATTATGATCAGATTACCTACCTAACTACAGCAAAGAGTGTTGGCGAGAATGGCAAGTACAATCAGATGATTATAGAGCTTCATGGCCTGTGTTGGTAATGGGAGCTCTCTCTGGAAAGAGTCGGAAAGATTACTCTAGCAGTGGTATTTCTTTATTCCTTTGGGTCATTTGACCATATCCCACACTCTACTCCATGTTACACAGAGCAATTCATTACTGCAACTTCCTTTGACTATAATAACAGTTTGATGGTTTTAGACTATTCCCATGGCTGCTCTTTTCATACCTGTAGAAATAAACAGACTTTTTGGAAATATTAGTATTGCTTGAAGGATTAATGGTATAAACTTTGGAAAAGTCTTTTACTTCTAGAAGTAGTCATGTTTCTAACATCCAAAAATATATAATCTTGCCTTCGTGGTTTTTTTTCTTTCTGGTTTCCACTAAATTATTAGTTCCAACTTCCTTCTTTTCTTTTTTGCCTCGCAGTTTTCTTCTTGTATGAAGTTCCAAAGGCAAGAATCTTGTTAAAATGCTACTGAAGATGATGGTTTTGGGGATCAGTTTTCATGGCACTTATTCTCCCTTATTGAGAACTATTTATATGGAAATAGAAAATAAAACTCTACTGTAATTTTTCATTACTGGGGAAAATTGGGCCACACCTCCCACTTCCCATATAGGTGATAACCCCTGGCATAAAAAAGTTCACTGGTAACTTTGAACTTAAGTGGGGAGACATTCATATTGGTGATATGTGTATATCAGAAGTCTTCTTGCAAAATTCTTACCTCTATCTATTTGTGATTTTTGAGATGTTTTCCTTGAGTTATTGGAAGACATTTCCAACTCATTGAAGGATACTTGAACAAGCCTATTCTAAGTGGGAGCTGGGTTGGGAGGGGAGAGGAATGAATAACACCTACAGGATAAGGTTTCAAAGTGACTGTTAGGCAACCTTTCAGTTCAGTTCAGTTCAGTTTAGTTGCTCAGCTGTGTTCAGCTCTGCGACCCCATGGACTGCAGCACGTCAGGCCTCCCTATCCATTACCAACTCCCAGAGTTTACCCAAACTCATGTCCATTGAGTCGGTGACGCCATCCAGCCATCTCATCCTTTGTCGTCCCCTTCTCCTCCTGCCCTCAATCTTTCCCAGCATCAGGGTCTTTTCAAATGAGTCAGTTCTTTGCATCAGGTGGCCAAAGTATTGGAGTTTCAGCTTCAGCATCAGTCCTTCCAATGAACACTCAGGACTGATCTCCTTTAGGATGGACTGGTTGGATCTCTTTGCAGTCCAAGGGACTCTCAAGAATCTTCTCCAGCACCACAGTTCAAAAGCATCAATTCTTCGGCGCTCAGCTTTCTTTATAGTCCAGCTCTCACATCCACACATGACCTCTGGAAGAACCTTAGCCTTGACCAGACAGACCTTTGTTGGCAAAGGCAACCTTTACTCTCCAAGAAAAGCACTTTACACCTTTACCTTTCTCCTCAAGCTCCCATGTACATCCATCTTCCTCCTCCTCACCCTCAGGTCATTCATATTTCACTGAAAAAATGTAAGTCCTTGGAATCGTCATCTTCACCCCACAGACTTCCCAGATCACCCCTGACCATACCTAGAGTCTGCATTGCCTGGGATGAGCTGTGTTCCATCTGGATTTAATCCCTCTAGCTATACATGGGCATCTCTCTTCTCAATAGTTCAAGGTTGCTTGAGCTGATTTGCAGTTATGCCCATTTCTCCTACAGGAGTGATCTGTCTTTACTAGATCATCTTTGTGAACATTCCAAATTGTGATCATATTCCCCATGAAAAATAATTCTCCATTTTATCCCTTTCTTCACCTACCTCCTTAATTCTTGGCTTTTCTTGGTAGCAACATTTCTCAAGAGAATTCTCTCTACTCCCTGTCTCCATCTTTTCACATCTTATTCTTTCTTGGGTAGGCTGGTGTCCACTCTTGTATGGATCACCCAGCACTTCCATCTTGTGAAATTCATTGGTCTTTACTTTCTTTTAAAAAACATTTTTTTAATAATTTGGCTGTGCTGGGTCTTTTAGTTGCTGCATGTGGGATCTTTTTAGTTGTGATTCTTTTTATAGCTGCTGCTGCTAAGTCGCTTCAGTCGTGTCCGACTCTGTGTGACCCCATAGACGGCAGCCCACCAGGCTCCCCTGTCCCTGGGATTCTCCAGGCAAGAACACTGGAGCGGGTTGCCATTTCCTTCCCCAATGCATGAAAGTGAAAAGTGAAAGTGAAGTCGCTCAGTCGTGTCCCACTCTTAGCCACCCCATGGACTGCAGCCCACCAGGCTCCTCCATCCATGGGATTTTCCAGGCAAGAGTACTGGAGTGGGCTGCCATTGCCTTCTCTGTTTTTATAGCTACAGCATGCCAACTCTTAGCTGCCACATGTGAGATCTAGTTCTCTGACAAGGGATTGAACCCAAGCCCTTGCATTGGGAGTATGGAGTCTCCCATAAGACCACTGGGACTACCCTCATTGTCCAGGTCCCATCATTAGTCCTTTCTTAGTTTTCATCTTATTTGAACTTCCAGCAGTCTTTGACACTGAAGCAGATAATCCTCTCCTCATTGGTCCCTTTCTTCACCTAAAGTCCTGGTTGGTGAAGGCCTGCTTTTACTCCTACCTCACAGGCTGCTCTTTTTCAGTGTCCTCTGCCAATTTTGCTTCCATTCCATTCCAAGGTAGCCCAAGGTTTAGGGTCAATGGACAAATGTTAAGGGTCAATAGACAGCCCTTTCCTCTGTCTACACTTACTCCTGAGGTTGTGTCATCCTATCGCATGGTCTTAAAGCCTGATTACATGGGGGTTTCTCCTAAATTTAGGTCTTTCTACTCCACCTTGCCATGGACTTTTCTTTAGTGGGTAAGTTCTATTTAAAACATCTGAACTCCATACTGTGGCCTTCATGACCCTCACCCGCTGGCCCCCCTCACGCCTGCACCTTCATCTGCTGCAGTTTTCTCTCCTGTGCTCCATCTGCTCCCACACACTTGGCCACCTACTGCTGCTGTAACTGCCCAGCTTTTGCCTGGTTCAGAGGCTTTGCACTTTCTCATGTCTTTGCCTAGAATTTTCTTTGCCCAGATCTTTACTTGGCTTGTCCCCTTACTCCAGTGTCAATGTGCTTCTTCAGAGGCCTTCCCTGACCTCCTTGTCTAAAGATGTATCCTCTTACATGTCTTACTTTTTCTTCTCACCACTTACCACTACTTTAAGTTCTGTTTTACTTCTGCCCTGCTGGAATATGAGCTCAAGAAGGCCATGTCATTAGTTGACACCTCCCTTATCATCAGGGCTTAGATCAGTTCCTGGCTCCCAGGAGACTCTTAAACTCATGTTTATTGAGTGAATAAGTAAATGAATTGATATGTATGTAAATATTTTTTTATATGTAAACCACATGACTATACGCTTAATGTTTTTGCATCCAAAATACAGAGAAATGCTTATTAAAATAGAATGGTTAGACATAATAGAAGAATGGCTAGCTAGGGCCTGCCTGGTGCACATAGACTCATAAAGAAATTTCTTTGAGTTCCCTTCTCTGGAAATAAGCTGTGTCTTCTTGGCTCTTCCCATGCAGCTGAAGAATAAGTTCATGAAAAAACTGCCACGTGATGCAGAAGCTTCCAACGTGCTTGTTGGCGAGGTAGACTTCTTGGATTCTCCTTTCATTGCTTTTGTTCGGCTGCAGCAGGCAGTCATGCTGGGTGCCCTGACTGAGGTCCCTGTGCCCACAAGGTAAGCTGCTCCCTGACCTGCTGGGGTCCACAGTGTGGTCATAGGGAAACTCCTGCCCCTCAGGCTAGAGAGCCAATAGGATGAGGGTACATCCAAAGCAAGCATGTTAGAAAGGTTTAACTTGAAATAATGGTTCAGTCTGACTTTCATGCTCTCGATTGACTTGGCACGTGTACAGTAGTAATAATGATTATGATAATTCATTGGACTATGGAATAAGTTTCTGATGGATTAGCCTATTTAATACTCATAATAATTTTTAAAGTATAAACTATAAGGGATTTTATAGATGAAGAAACAGTTTGAAAATTTAAGTAACTTCTCCAAGATCATATAGATGGTAAATGGTTCAGAGGTCTGAGTTGCTTTCATTTGCTCTCTGTTTTATTAGAAAATTGATAGTAGATATGTTCATACATACATACACACATTATATATATCAATATATATAAATGTGTCTGTGTGTACATATATAGACATGTATATATGTGTTTTGACTCAGTGGTAAAGAATTCTACCAGTGTAGGAGATACAGATTTGATCCCTGGGTCGGGAAGATCCCCTGGAGAAGGAAATGGTAGTCCACTCCAGTACTCTTGCCTGGAGAATGACATGGACAAAGGACCCTGGTAGGCTACAGTCCATGGGGTCGCAAAAGAGTTGGACACAACTGAGCGACTAAATAACAATGTGTGTTTATTATCTATATGCACAAAAGTAAAAATCATTAAGTTGTACACTTAAGTTTGTACATTTTACTGTTATGTGTTAGGACTAATAAAGTTTTATTTTAAAAGAAAGTATACTACTGTTATTACAATCATGTACTCATACTGCACCGTACCTTAGAAGTCATCCTTTTTTATTTCCCTCTGTAACTGAGCCCAATAGAAGAAGCTTAACTTCTACGTCAAGTGTAGTAGGTAAATAGAAGCTAATGCTTCAAATAAACTTGTGCTTAGGAATAGGTTAAAGAGAAGTCTATACTCTTCAGGTTGACATTAGAAAATTATTATAAACTAGGGCCTTTTTTGGGGGGAGTGCCCAGGGCAAGGGCGGGGAACTTTTCTTTAGGTTTCTCCAGGTGAGCAGGAGAGGCTATGGATTACCAGTGGTCTCAGATGGTCTGAGCAAGGTAAACCAACAAGATAAGGGGCTCAAGGTTTGTTCTGAGCCAATTCAGGAGGAAAATTAGGAGAACATTTCCTTAGGGCCTTCCATTTTCTACATGACAGGCCATTCTTTTTTACGCGGGCATTTTTATCCCATTTTTCTATTTCTTAGACACTAACAGCAGGGAGAATGCTTGTCATATTACAATATAGGAATAATATAAGCAGTTGTTGGACAAATAGCAGAGGAAAGGGGATAGTTATAGCTTATTCAGTTAATGGGGTTATTATGATTTGTGTTTTCTAGAACTTAGCTTTTTGCTTGAAAACATTCCCGCAGAGCCTTGCAGGTCCATCTGAGCAATCACCTGGCGAACAGCTAGCTGACTCAGTCATGGCCAAACTCCAGCTTGCGTGTCTCTTTGGTTTTATTTATGTCTCTTTGGACCAACTTTTCTGGAGCTTGAAAGAAAAAGACATGCCAAGAAGTGTTCAGTTGCTCTTTTTCATTTTTTTAATTCTTTTTCTCTAGAAGCTACACATAAAAATATTTTTAAAGGCTTTTATTTAAACAATAACACAAGCTCATTGAGTAGCAAGTCATGACCATTTTGGAGTCTGTCTTATCATCTGCTCCTGTCCGGCTCATGTTTTTCTGTCCTGGACAGTGGTACTAGTCTAGAGGTAAAATAAAGCATCATTTGAATTGAGAAAAGGAGCCCAGTCTATTCAAGGGAATGTAATTCAATAATGTCATAAAGCTATTTCAGGGCAGTAATCTGAATAATATATCCTAGCATGTTAACATTTTTCCAGGAAATAGTTTTATCCATTTGCTATCCTCTGAACCAGGGCATGCTGTAATCACTGAGAAGGGAGTCTCATTAGCTTTTTTGTGTGTGAGTAATACAGGGCCACTTACAATGGCTGCATCCTGTGAAATCCAATAAAGGAAATCCCGCAAGGAGTGTGGTGGGCATTGTGGAGGATGTCTCTGCACATGTGCTTTAACATGCATGCCACCCCGCTAGCCTGCGCAGAGACCTGAGAAATCTGTTTCTGTGCACATCTTGTAATGACAGTCATTTTTTTCTTTTGAAAAATTTTTCCGTTTTTCCTTTCCTTTTGAAGGTGGAAGACACCTTTTGCTTATTATTATTATTCTTACTATTTATAATAAGTAGCATTACTACCATATGTCTTTTAAGAAATATGATTATAGCCATTCCCTTTGTATAGAGTTCATGAATTTCTCTATCCACTCTGCTCTTTGCTTGATCTAGTTTAGCTTTCTGTTTGCAGCTGGGCTCCTACAAACTGGGTAGATGTTTTCCACACAGAGGACCTTCTTGCCATCCATGTGAAAGCAGATAAACTCTGTTCTTTGGTGACTTAGTTGGATATGTTTATGATTTTCTTAGTGTCTTAACAGGCACTTTGCTTTGCTATCATCTTACATCTGTTCCATTGAGGCTGCCACTCAGTCATATTTATGGGCCACATGGAGATGAATATAATTCCCATTTTTCAGTTCAGAGATGGAGCCACATGGATGACGCACTGTCAGTGCAGATTTCTGACTCTGAAGCAAGGCTCTTAGGGAAAATCTAAGGAGACTCCTAGAATGGATTGCAATAAAATGCTTTAGGGTTTTCCCATGAAGACTAATCAAAGCTCTTGATCAATCTGTGCTTTTCTTAACTTGATTTTCACATCTGAGGCAAATAATTATAAAGAGAGCTCTAGCCCTCCATAAAATTAGAATATTTACCCCTTTGTGTTACTCTTAGTTAATATCTGTTTTATGTTATAAATAATGATCTGCCTGAAAGCAGTTGTTTGTGCCTGATTGTCAAAACTGTAAAAATTCTATTAGAGGAATTGGGATGGAGGTCTTGCCAGTTCAGTTCTGTCTTGTGTAACAGTCTTCCAGTGACTCACTGCTGTTTACTATGTGCAGTATGGTTGGTTATGATGGGTTTGTGGTCCTTATGAATTTATTGAGGAAACTACAGTTTAGCCACTTTTTCCAAAGCCACTAAATATGAATAATGGGTTATTTGATTCACTGTTGTTTTAAGAAAAGGGAGTTAGGGATTGGTACATGCCGAGTTTATTTTAGAATGGCTGTGATATATCAGGAAGGAGGAGGGGTGCACATCTCTGAAAAGATGGAGTAGTTTAGGAAGGCTGATTCTTTTTCTGATGTTATGCTCTGTTTCTGCCTATAATTATTTTGTGAATATGAGTATAGTCCATTGGTTCTGGACGCAGATCATCTGGTACTGATTTTTGTTGTGGTGAACACTAAAGGCATTCTCCCCAGGCACGATAAGTGAGCACAGCAGAGTGGAAGGGCCTCATGAAGATTCTCAAGACAGCCAGTCACTATTATAAATTCTGTGACTTGTGTCTAGTTACAAGCGAATACAAAGAACTCAGCAACTTAAATTATGTCCCCCAAGCCAGCAACGTGGACTGTGCCCTTTCAACCACACAAATGTGATGTTTACTCTAATTCGTTAATAAAGAAAAAAAGCTTCTGGTTAAAAATAACATCTGTCCATTGACCAAAAAAAAAAAAAAAAAAAAACCCAACAAAACACTTGAGTCATGAAAGAAGTTTTCAGTACAATATAAAAGCCGAGTTTGGCAAGATGTACTTCTGTCATAAAAGTTGTAACAGCTTTTGCGTCTTGGAGGCTTAAAGAGGAGAGAACATGTTTCAGGCAGAGGGAGCTTCAACTTGAGTTGTTCTGTGTTGTTACTTTTCCCAGATCTCTCATCCCCATTTCAACAGAGCACTTCAAATTATAGTCTTCCTAAGGGTCTGCTTTCCTACAGATGATATTCTTGACCTGAGGTGATGTTTCCTGCTGGTTGTGGGTGTCCAGAGTTCCTCTCTATGCATTTTAAGAAAATGGATTTACTCAGTGTTTCCTGACTGAAGTAATGTGAAAATTGTAACTGATACATAACTTTTTATTTCTATTTGGCACTTGATGATTTTCTTTATATTTTATATATATATATATATGAACAAATATATATATGTTTTAATAAAAATCACATTACTCAGGAAAGAGGAGTTGTACCTTTATACCTAATATAATGAAAACACTATAGCTCTCATATACTGGTTTTGCTCCTATGATAAATGGTTTTTTTATGGTCACCACTGGTCTGTTATTGCCATTTCTTCTTTGGTGCTATTTAGTAAAGAGCAGAGTAAATATTTGTAGAAAATGTATGCCCTCATCTCATAGGATTTAAGGTGGAGGATCCATTACTCTGTCATCCCTTGGACTATAGCTGCCCATGGTCTGCCAGAATTTATACTTGAGGACTATTAATGACTGAGAGCATTTTCTGCACTTTCTAATAAGACACTATTTTGGCTTTGTTGCCATATAGTTAACCTGATAATTAATTCATGTGTCAGTTGATAAATGTGCATTTCCATATTGTATATTTATAAACGTAAAATAATCATGATGCAGATACTAGGGAGAGGTAGGAGGATGTAGACAGAGGCTCTGGAAAGGGTTAGATATTGTATAGTGCTTAGATGCTAATATTTGGATGTGTCAGATGCTCAGTTGTGTCTGACCCTTTGAGACCCTTTGGACTGTAGCCCGTCAGGCTCCTCTGTTCACGGGGTTCTCCCAGCAAGAATATTGGAGTGAGTTGCCATTTCCTTCTCCAGAGGATCTTCCTGACCCAGGGATCAAATCTGTGTCTCTTGAGTCTCCTGCATTGACAGGTGGATTCTTTACCACTGTGCCAGCTGGGAAGCCTGAAATAATAAAAAAATGACAGGCAAAGGAAATACATTATTTAAAAACGTATTAAGTAAAGCATCCAGGTGTTATACATGTTCTCTTGCTCTACCACATTTGCCCACTTCTGTCTAAAGCTATGCCCTATTGTCCTGCCCGACAACTGGCCCTTGGTAGACAAGTAAATAGAATTGGGACATATGACAAGTACTGTAGGTGTTTCTTAATGAGATTTGTGTTTTACTTTAGTTTTTAAATATTTTTTTCAGGTGTGGCACTCATTCAGTGAGCCATCCCTTCAGAAAAGTGCATTGTACTTTTCTGTCAATAAAAAAAGCTCTTGATAATACTATATGTGGTGGCGTATAATTTAGGTTCAGCTTCGGAAACAGGCACGTTCTAGTTAGACGAATTAAAACCCAGTTCTAATAATGACTTCCTTCATACTTGAATGACTTTCATGCCTGCTGATTGCTTTTGCCCATTTCATCTACCGTGATAACACTTGAAAGCAAGTGCACCGCTCCACTCCAGAACTGGTTTCTAAGCAAATAAATACTGAATGGTTTTATGGTTATTCTGGTATAAACCCTGAATATTCAGATATTCAGATTTACCTTCTTACATTCTCAATTTGGTTTTTTTTCTTTACTCTTTAGATTAAATTTTATGATGAAAAATGGAATTGTCTTTTCAAGGGCATTTGAGAACAGACCCTAATACCTTGAAGAGTGTTGGCTATCAATAGCCCTTTCTTAAACAACAAAAATATGAATAAATTAGTCAAAAAGAAAATTTTACCAACAAAAGTCCTAAGCCATTCATGGTTTCATAAGATCTTACTTAAGCTTTCTTGTCCCCAGCTAAGTATCCACAACCTCTTTCCCCAGAGTGGCCTATGGAAGTCATAGTTGGATAGCTTTTCTCTGGTATATAGGTTGTGCAGGTATTATTAATCAGAATTGTGTGCAGAAAAAAAACAGGAGGTAAAAAGTCCTATCTGTCTTGCTGTTCTTCAGTTGCTTAGTCATGTCCAACGCTTTGTGACCCCGTGGACTGTAGCACACCATTCCTCTGTGTCCTATACTACATTCAACAGTTTGCTCAAACTCATGTTCATTGAGTCCATGATGCCATCCAACCATCTACTCTGTCATTCATTAAGGACAGTCTTTGAGCCCATCCACTACCTTCCTTGAGCCTAGGTTTCTTCACCATTAAATGGGAGTAAGATATGTGTCCTTATAGCAAAGGATAGTAGGAGTTTAAATGATATGTGAGTGTGAAATGTTTAGGATGTGATCATTTTTATTGTCCTCATTATCTCCATGTTAGGTAAGATATGATCGTAAATAAGCAAGGCAGGGATTTTTCTACTATTGCCTTTTGTCTATTTTTTAATTCATTTATCTCCTGCTCCCTGGTTGAGAGTTGCATCTTTGCCCTTGTGATCAGTGAGGGATTCCTTCCAACATGATAAGGGGTGAACTTGAGTGGAGATAAGCTCGTTACTGCAAGTTTCAGGACCTAAGTACTTTGGAACAGTGCATGATCAAGAAAACAAGTTTGGAAAAGAAAATGAGGAATCCTGTAAAAGGATTTTAACTGTGAATGATGTTTTATATTGATTTCTCTCATATTTTTCCTCCTTTACTTTGGTTGTCAGCATGTGGCTTATTGTAGAGGAGTTGGATTTTGCTGGCTCCCAGCCACTTCTGAGTAGAAATATTTCTTTAAAATATGGAGAGGATCATTTGTCACCATCAATACTGGGTGAAGAAAAGTCAGAAAAATCAGAGGATGTGCTAAGTCTTCCTAGTTATTGTGCTTAATGGGTTTTCTCTAAAGTTTCTGAAAAGTCAGAAGAGAAAGAGAAAGAAAAGAAAGTTTAGAAAAGAAAGACTTACTCATATAGTGAACCTTTCCTTCTTCATGCAGAAGCTTTTTAGGGTTCCATGCTCAATTCTCCCTTGCTTCCAAATAAAATGAACAACAATTTGTGTTTCACAATAGTGTGGAAGAGTGCCTTTCATATTACCAAGACTATAACCTTTGTTTTAAAGATGAATTCCAGACCTAACCTTTTTATGAATTAGGATTAAACATGTCTCAGTGTTGTGTGTATTGAGTTTGATGAAATATGTGTTACAGCCTTTGCTTCTTTCCTCTCCCATTAGGTTCTTATTCATTCTCTTAGGTCCTAAGGGGAAAGCCAAGTCTTACCATGAGATTGGCAGAGCCATTGCCACGTTGATGTCTGATGAGGTAGGGAATCGGGAAGACGGTGATCTGTGAATGTCATTCTTGTTTTCTCATACTGTGAGTTGGCTATCACAATTTATTCAGTTAGAATTATGTAGTTACCAACCTTCTTTAAAACATGAGGGGCAGTCATTTGTGCAAATGAGCTGACATCTGCTTTTAATAGTTTTCAAAAAATAAATTTTGTGTTAGAATAAATCATATTTTCCTTTCTCTAAACATTTGCAGTTCTGAAAACTGAAGTATGTTAAATAGTATTTAAAAGGTTCGAGTCTCTGTATTAACATAATCTCTTAAAATGTTTAATATATTCATCCTGCAAATTCAAGTGTTTTGTTTCAGAAATGGGTTTTATAAAATAATGCATAGTAAAATGCATTTTCCCTTAGGTATCAGAAAGCACCTGTTTTTGTGGTTTGCTTCTCTTGTGGGAAGGAATGATACACATACTAAAATGCATTAGCAACCATTGCTGCAAAGTATCTAGCACTTTGGAATTTTGACTGTACTCTCATAATAGCTTAAATGTCGCTACACACATCTTAGACATGTTGAAACTCCAAACTAGTCTCATAGGAGGAGAAATACTATTAGAATATAGGATTACTGATTTCTGCTTTTATGCCTTTCTAGCTTGCTATTTTGCCAAATGTTTTGTTTTTGCTTCATTGCTTGATATGTTAGCTTCTCCATGTGTTGAGTGGAGCATAGAGCATTTAGTTATGGCAGTTCTATTTGGTGATTACTCAGATGGTTACTTAATTTGGGAACACTGATGAATAGCAATACTGTTTTTTTTCCTTTGAGGCAACTAAACATCTCAGTGGGTTCTTTTATTTATTTCTGCATATTTATAATTTCTTAATTCTTCGCCCTAAGATGTATTGATTAGAAATGCTTTAGGCAAAAAAGAAAAAGAAGAAAAAGAGATGCTTTAGGCTGCAAATGACAGAAAATCTGACTTGTTGTGGCTTAAACAATTTAGGGTTTGTTTTGTACACGTGCTAGGAAATTTGGAGGTAAGTAGTTGCTGGAGTTGGTTTACCTTAACTGCTTAATGGTAAATCAAGTGCCAAGGCTCTTGCTTTGTGGTCTTAAGATGGCTAGTGCTGTCAACTCCAGTCATACCATCTGTAGCAAAGCAGGAAGGAGGAGGCAGGGTATATTAGCTGTGTCTTTCTTTTTGAACTGGTATTTTAATGCTCCCCACACACATTTTTTTTTTTTTTTTTCTAATCCCATGAGTCAGAACTGCCCATCCTTACCTGCAGGCTAGTCTAAGAAAGTGACTGACTTTCCAGCCTCCATAGTGGGAAGTAGCAAGAGAAAATAAGGCTGTAGACAGTTGTGTCCACTGCAGATGCTATGCTTATACTTTGAATGACCTCCCCTAAACCCCAAAACCCCCACACCATTATGTGTTGTTTGATAGCTTTTACAAATTCTACTGAGGAGAAAAGACTTAGTAGCAATCTTTAAGAATAGCCAAAGGTATCAAACAGGAGCCACCTTCTTTCCTGGAGACTGAAGAATTTGACTTATGAGGTGTGAAAGGCTTGGGTTAGGTATTAAAGACTTTCAGATTATCAGGCACGTTAGAAGAATGGAATGATTGACAAAGAGTATGATACACATCTGGAAGCTCCTGCTTTGGATATTTGCATAAAACACATGGAACACTTGCTGCCTTGGAGGGTTTGGTTATTGGCTTCCTAAAAGACAGACAGATGATCACCTACTTAAAACCCCTTTGCTCTAACTCACATTATTTGTGTGCTTCAGAGCTGCAGAGTTTGAGTGTTAACCAGTCTTAACACTCAGTTTGAACTTTTCCTTCTTGAATTAGAAGCAGTGGTTTGGCCCAGTAGTTTTTATTTCAGGGAATGATTGTGTATTTCTCTAAACTATTTTCATCTGGCTTCCATAGCAACCGTATCAGTAATAGTACATACCAGTGGGAGATGAAAGGCAATGCTATTTTATGGTATTGTTAGGAAAAAATCATATAAAAGAAGCGCAGCTGTTTTCTCATGCCTCTGCCTATATTCTTTGGGTTCATAATCTGGATACTGAACTATTTTGGATTAAGCTGAACAGTAGAAAGTATGAGGCTATGGTCACAGTAATGTTAAAATAGATTTTGGATTGCATTCTTCAGCCTCAACATCTGAGGCATGTGGAGAGTTCTCTTGTTGGATCAGCACATCTCTTCTTATTCTTTAGGTGTTCCATGACATTGCTTATAAAGCAAAAGATAGGCAGGACCTGATTGCTGGCATAGATGAGTTCCTAGACGAAGTCATTGTCCTCCCACCTGGGGAGTGGGACCCAGCGATCAGGATAGAGCCTCCTAAGAGTCTTCCATCATCTGACAAAAGGTAAGATGATCAGGCCACTGAGAGTTTTAATCTTTGAGAGGAGGTTTTTTTTTTTTTGGAAGAGGAAAGAGGTTCTGTCTAGTGCCTTAATATTGACAGATTTCCATTCAACTTGAGGTGTTATCTCAAATGAATCACACATGTGCCTTTGTTTGACATTTGGTTGACACTGGAAAATGAGCATGTGGTGATATTCTTCAGTGATTACAAATTAGAGATCTCAGATTACAATATTGCAATACACTGTAGAGATTCTTTGGGGATGTTTCTGGGACCCCTATATAGGTGGAAAGATCAGTTTATTCGAGGTGACTCCCTGTAGATTTAGAGGTTAAGAAATTGGGTGAGATAATTGAGGGGAAGCCATTTTCTAGAAATCTGTGATTTTCCAGATGAGACAATTTCCCTTTCATACAACATACAGTTTATTCAACTTTTTACTCATCTACTCATTTTTCTCGGCTCTAACTGGAACACTTTAAAGTTGTCTACTTCCCTGGTAAAGAATCTGCCTGGAATGCAGGAGACCCCGGTTCAATTTGTGGGTCAGAAAGATCCCCTGGAGAAGGGATAGTCTATCCACTCCAGTATTCACGGGATTCCCTGGTGGCTCAGATGGTAAAGAATCTGCCTGAAATGTGCGAGACCTGGGTTCGATCCCTCAGTTGGGAAGATCCCCTGGAGGAGGGCACGGCAAGCTAGGCCAGTATTCTTGCCTAGAGAATCCCCATGGGCAGAGGAACCAACAGCCCATGGGGTCGCAACGAGTCATAGACACCAGTGAGCGATTAAGCACACACATGATGATGGCAGGAAATAATGATCTTTCTCCCAAAGGGTTTTCGGTCCATCTCTTCATTAGTTAGTGCACGATGTAGCTAAGAGGCAGGTGAATGAAATAAAACTAATCATCTCTTGGGCTGTTGTCTTGATTAGAAAGAATATGTACTCAGGTGGAGAGAATGTTCAGATGAATGGGGACACGCCCCACGATGGAGGCCATGGAGGAGGAGGACATGCAGATTGTGAGGAATTGCAGCGCACTGGAAGGTAACTGATGGATTCTTCTGTCGTTCATGATGAGGTTCCCTTCTGGTCTGAATTCCCCTTAATCTTTCTATCAGTGCTTTGCTCACTGGTTTGTATGTTTGGTCAGCCAACACAAGTTTATGCTGTATCTATCAGTCACAGGTGCTTGGGCTGCAGCAGTGAATGAATGGAAAACCTCTGTCTTACTGTGTAGTGGTGGGAGACAAACAATGAGCAAATAACGAAATGTGAATCTGATTGTACGGGGCAAAGTAAAGCGGAAGTAGGGAGTTTTGCAACAGGCGAAAGGTACTAGGTAATACCATTTTACATAGTGTGGTCTGTACGGGAAGGCCATAAAGGGAATTGCAGCATTTGAGGAAAGTCCTGAAGAAGTGGGGAGGCAGATCCTAGGGTTGGGAAGGGGAATGGAGAACATCAGGGTGCCTAGTGGGTGCTGGGTTGGCACAGAGGCCAGTGTGATGGCAATGGCATGAGTGAGAGCTGTTACGGAGAGAGACGGGGGGTGGGTGTGGCAGAAAGGCCGGTCTCCCCTGCCTCCTTGATCTTCTTGATTCCATCTCTTCCTGATACATTTACTCAGAAATGTACCCATATTACAGAACAGAGTACAGAGTCACAGAACATGTACAGAGTTACATGTTACAGAAATGAGTGACTGCCAGGCCACCATCTCCTCGACCTGCAGTGGGGTTTCTCAGGAAGCTTTGGCTAAATCTCTTTTTATTAGAACTATGCCTGAACTATTATGTTCTCCATTTCAATCTGAGTTAACTACAGTTTTAAGTAGGGTACTCGTTTATGAAGATATGACTTTTTAAAAAACACTTCAGGTTTTTGAAAACACAGAGGTATGTCATTTTAACAGACAATTGAATCTGAATGAAATGACGTTCTTTTCTTCCTCCAGTGACCCACTTGGGCTTGTTTCCCAAATGAAGAGGATGTTATTTCTCTCCTCTTCCTTCTTAAAGACTAGAGAACAGAACCTTCTCTCTCTCCCATTTTTTCCCTGAATAGTTCTTTACAAACTATTCCCATTAGAACTATCCTTTTCCTTTTCTATAGATACAATTTCTGAGATTTAACTTCTTTATTTAATCAGACTGTAATCTTTGATATTTTAACTTTCCTAAGTGCATTGCATGTCTGCAGTATGTCTGCTACCATGCAATATGTCTGTACATAGCAAGAAAACTGAAGCAGGGCATTGAATGCAGCTAAGACAGTTAGACACACAATCCTGAGAATATGTGAGAACCATGAGTGGAGGATCAAGACTTCCAAGGGTTGTAGAGCTCTGAGAGAGGACATCAAAGGCAGAAGGCACAACGTGGGGAAAGCTGAGTGAGGTTTGGTTGAGGGAGTGAGCTGACACGTGACAGGCAGCTGACCTGCATGTGACATGAGGAGGCTCAGCTTGCTACGCTCCTCCGTGACACATCTTCATGGCTCTCTCCCTTCATTCTTTCCAATCCTTACCCCAAAGTCACGGGTTAGGAGTCCTGTTCTGGCCACTCTGATATTTCAGCCATAGCAACTCTAGCATTTAACCCAGATCCCCACTTAATTTTTCCTTTGATTTTCAGCCCCATGCATTTTACTTATTTTGTTCACCTCACTCGGAAAATAACTCCATGAGGGTGGGTGTTTTTTTCCTGTGTTATTCACTGCTGTATTTCCAACATTCAGAATAGTGCTGGGCCTATCCCAAATGACCAATACACATTTTTGGAATGAGTGAATGAGTGAATGAATGAATGAATGAATGAGGCTGGGATGGAAGTTCTGACAAGATTAGAAAGGGCCTTATGTGATTGGCTCACACATTGGGATGTTTTCCTTTAGACAGTGACACCAAATTCATCTACCCAATTCACTCTCATCTAAAGACCAACAGTCTAGAGAATGTGACTGCCTAATTTGGTGATCAAAAAGAAGACAGAAGAAAATGTATTCCTTTACAGTTTTCTGATTTTATCTTAAGGGCTGAAATAGTATCTTGCTGATTCAAACACTTTAAATACACCTTCTCTGTGATTAAATAAGTTATCTCTTGGTTCATTGCATGATACTTTATTTTACATTGTCACGTTTGCTTTTTCCCTACCCAGGTTCTGTGGTGGATTAATTAAGGACATAAAGAGGAAAGCACCATTTTTTGCCAGTGATTTTTATGATGCTTTAAATATTCAGGCTCTTTCAGCAATTCTCTTCATTTATCTGGCAACTGTAACTAATGCTATCACTTTTGGAGGACTGCTTGGGGATGCCACTGACAACATGCAGGTGGGTTTGGTTTGGGAAGACACAAATAGTACAGCCAGATTGCCTTCCTCACCCCTACAGCTCAGCGAGAAGCAGATGGCCTTTCAGTTACTCAGCGTGATTTTCTTTCTTTTGCTGGATGCTGCATTTTACTTTGCTTCTGGTCTGCTGCTGTATTTCCAGCATTTTAGTAGTTACAAAAATAGCTCGATGAAATCTGGCTTGAGTCACAAGTGGGGAAAAGAAGGGAAGGAAATGAGGATATATAGCTCTATTTGGGCAAAAGCAGATCAGCTGCTTTAATTTTGTGTCGGGTATAAGGTTTCGATCTTCTATTACCTTGAATGTATGGACCACACTTGTTAAACTTGATGTATCAAGTTTTGGGGGATGCCTTGTTAGCTTCCTTTTACATGTGAGCAGACATGGGTGTTTTGCTCAAGACTGAATTTGTATCTTTGTGAGAAGAACTCAGCTTTAAGGATAAAAGCTACGAGTTGGTTTTCCTATTCTTGGATCTGCCTCTCATTAAGCCATTAAGACTCTTGCTTATTTTTTTGGTTGCTTTGCAGGTGGCATTTGCCCTTCTTTTGTAGCCATAATAGCTGAAGTTTTAGTGATAGAAAGATATTTTTAATTCCCATAATCAGAAAGATATGTACAAAACCTCTTTTAGTTGATCCAATCATTATGGAAAAAAATAGGCATTGTGCTAGTTGCTGAGTACAGAGTAGTGAGTGAAGCTGAAAAGAACCAGATTCAAGCCCTTTTCAAACACTGTTCTTCTGTGTTACTACTTATTACTGTTTAACCTATGTGACATTAATAAGTGCTGCCAACCAGCTTATTTGAAATAATAGAGCTGCTTCCAAAGGATTGCTTTCCTTCTACATCTGTTTTCTCCCCTGGGCACATTTCATGTATTATATTTCTGCTTAAACACAAAATTAATATGAAGACACTCTGTGACACCTGTGTTGACCCAAGTAAAAAGGGAGACATTGCTTTAAGCAATTAATTTCACTTGTTCAGAGCACTTTCATCTTTTAGTCTTTATCTATTACTGCATAGCATGTTACCCCCAAATCTGAGGCTTCAAACAACCATTTTTTCCTTTTCTCTCATGGTTTTGGTGGTCGATGGACTCGGGTGGCTGGTTCCCTTTGGTCCTTGTAGACTTACAGTGTTTTGGCAGCTGAGTTTGGAGTTGCCTGAGGGCTTCTTTCCTCATGTGACTGCTGGTGGGGCTGGGGGCTCCCCCTGTGACTGTTCCAAGGCTGGCTTGGGTTTTCTCACAGCTGGGCACTGTGATGCCTCCTGTGACCTCCTGCTCCTTTGAAAGGGGGCAGTTGCCACTTGGCTTTCCTTGTTGCCATGTGAATATGCACTCATTATTCATTTTCTGATTTTCAAAGAGACGTTGGAAATTCAAATTCTTAAGTGAAATCTGGTGATTCTGAAATATTGGCTTCTGAAATATTGGCCAGTGATTAACATTTTATTTTTTTTTTAACATTTAAAAAATTACATTGTGCTGGCCAGAAAGCACTTAGCTGTGTATTCCCAAGTATGGGGAATAGAAGCCAAGCATGATGAAGTATACAAAGAGAGTGTCTTCCCCTTTTTCCTCATTCATAGACAAAAATGAGTAAATGTAACAGTAAGTCAGTAATGATATTTCTACAAAATCTGTTCTGAATTCAAATTGCATGGTATTTCTTCATCTAAATGAAAGTCTAATGATAATTAAAATACATCATTCAAAAGAACAAAGTGGGGGAAAAGGCACTGGGGAAGTACCCTGAGGCTAACACGAAGAAGATAATACAGGCAACCTCGTGTTAAGTGAAGGACAGGGAAGCCTGGCATGCTGCAATCCATGGGGTCGCAAAGAGTTGGACACAACTGAGCGATGGAACAATATTTTAAGAAAAATCACAGAAAGCTGTGATTTTGAAAGGGCAAGAACAAAACCTCCTTCTGTTTTGCACAATATAGAGAGACCTTCTGGTGAAGATAATTTTTCAACATTTTTTTTTTAATGTTCTTATTGAGATGGAGACATAATGACACTTCCTATGTGTTAGCCTTTTGCCTTTTTAAGCTGAATAGAACTCTTCAACTTCATGAGACTTAGCTTTATAAAGTTGCATCAGAGAGAGAAATCTGTTCAAGTCTGCTGTTGATCCCTCCTGGTACATTATTTTGCATATGAGCGAGTTCTGTAAAGATTCAGTTGTGTAACATACGTAGTTACTGTGGGTTTTTCCCCTGTGACAAGTGTTATGGGAAAGGCCTTGCTGGTGGAGTAAGCTGTTTTCTGGATTCTAAAGATTTTTGGAGAAATGCCAATGCTTTCAGTGTCCATTAAAATGACCATTTGCTGGATGTTACTTCTGGGAGTTGACTTAATCAAGTATCTAATTGAAACCAAATTATGAGGATAATTTGTCAGACATAATGGACCATTGTATCAGTAAATTATGTAAACTCCATTGATAGTTTCACTGAAACGGAATTTGTTTTTTAAAACTTTTTCTGAATAAAAATAGTGTTGGATATATTTAACACTCATATATACATATATTTAGTCTTCATGTCTTTTCTGAAGACTTTTGTTTTAAGAAATATGTTGATGAAATACTACAATTTGGTACTTTCAGTGGGTGGCAGAAACATTGAAAAACAGGGATTAAAAAATTAATGATCATTAATAAATATTTCTTGAACAGAATGCTTTCTTAGCAATTTCTTTTGGGTAGAATGATGCTGTTAGTAAATGAGTTCATAAATTCAGTGGTTTTTTTGATATAATATGTGTAAATATAGTTTGACTAGGGCATGCACACGCATACCCAACTCAATAGTTACATAGTAATTTTACATATCCTAGAATTTAAATATGGAAAAATTTTGCTTAGAGTCATCTAATTAGGTTTTCTTGCAGTGGTAGATGACTTAGATGGGTGTATCTATTGGTTTTATCTATTTTGAAGACCAGGGAATAAGGTGAATTTAATATGTTGACTACTGCCTCAAAACTGAAAGGGTATATTCTTTAACATACAGAGGTGTTTTTTGCGATATGAACATTGGGGTGCATGCATCTTTTTGGAATTACATTTGTTTTTGCTAAATATATGCCCAGGAGTGGGATTGCTGGATCATATGTCAACTCTGTTCCTAATTTTTTGAGGAAACTGCATACTGTTTTCCACAGTGCCATAGTTTACATTCCCACTAACAGTGTAAGAGGGTTCCATTTTCTCCATACCCTTTCTATTATTTGTTATTTGTAGACTTTTTAAATGACAGCCATTCTGACCAGTGTGAGGTGAAGCTCTCATTGTAGTTTTGGTTTGCATTTCTTTAATAATTAGTGATGTTGACCATCGCTTCGTGTGCCTGTTGGCCATCTTATAACATACAGAGGTCTTGATGCTCTGGCAGTAAATGTCTTCTTGACTTGGCATCAGGAAAAGAAAATACTTTGTGTATTTGGTGTCAAGGCCCAGATTATCTTACCAGTCTAAGGCAGACGTTGATACATTCCTTTGTGAATATTTATTGTGTGTCTAGTGTGTATCAGGCATTATTTTAAGTGCTGGGGATACAGATAACATGACCAAAGTAGCTAAGAATCCCTATTCTGATGGAATTTGCTATCTACAGTTGATAAAGCAATCTTTTTTATGCCCCCCAGAGATACCAGTAGTGGTCTTTAGTGGACTTATTTAAAGGGGTGAAATCTTCGTTCTTCACTAAACTTTCTAAACACTAGATCAGGGCTGAGCAGAAAAGCATTGGCACAGCCTGAAATAATCTTCAGTTATATCACATGCCTTCATAAATGTGGCAGTGGGTCATTCACAAAAGCACAGGCAGCTCAAATGAGTCAACCGGGTACAGTGTCCTTGCTTTTAGAGGTGGGCAGCTGAGAGACGTTCACGTAGGACCTTTATTGTGAGGCTACAAATAGACATGGATGCTGGGCAGAAGCATGTTGTGAAAACATGAATGAGTCACCCACACTGGTGTTGTTGAAGCAAACTCTTCTGCCAACTTCTCTTCAGGAGGTCTTGCCTACTCAATGATAAGAATTTACATCAGAGAAGAAATATATAGATATATGCATATATATGTAATTAGTATTCACACACATTCTCAGGTATATAAATTCAATAATCACACATATATATGTAATGATATAAATATCACATTATGTGTGTGTGTGTTTGTGTATATACATATGCACACACCTATTTTGAAGCAAATCTTGGGAGGCATATGGATCATTTCCCATGGAACTGTGTTCAGAATAAATCAGTTGAGCCTCCAGAGGCTCCAGTCAGTTCTGTTCAGTCATTTAGTCATGTCCAACTCTTTGTGACCCCTTGGACTGCAGCACACCAGGCTTTCCTGTCCATCACCAACTCCTGGAATTTACTAAAACTCACGTCCATTGAGTCGGTGATGCCATCCAACCATCTCATCCTCTGTCGGCCTCTTCTCCTCCCACCTTCAATCTTTTCCAGCATCGGGGTCTTTTCAAATGAATCAGTTCTTCACATTAGGTGGCCAAAGTATTGGAATTTCAGCTTCAGCATCAGTCCTGCTAATGAATGTTCAGTACTGATTTCCTTTAGGATGGACTGGTTGGATCTCTTTGCAGTCCAAGGGACTCTCAAGAATCTACTCCAACACCGCAGTTCAAAAGCATCAATTCTTCAGTGCTCAGCTTTCTTTATAGTCCAACTCTCAACATCCATATGTGACCACTGGAAGAACCATAGCTTTGACAAGGTGCACCTTTGTTGGCAAAGTAATGTCTCTGCTTTTTAATATGCTGTCTAGGTTGGTCATAGCTTTTCTTCCAAGGAGTAAGCATCTTTTAATTTCATGGCTGCAGTCATCATCTGCAGTGATTTTGGATCCCAGGAAAATAAAGTCTCTCAGTGTTTCCATTATTTCCTCATCTATTTGCCATGAAGTGATGGGACCAGATGCCATGATGATCTTAG